GTAACATTATATTTATTTTAATGTTGACAAACTATTTCCCATACAAACCCACACACTATCCTGCTGTATCTAAGTATCCTGATTTTCATTCAACAGTACTTCAAGACACCTGTAGTATAAAGTATATTTATATGAAAATATGAATATGAAAGTTTATTATCAAATCTTCTGATGGTTAAATAAATGCAAATTGAACCCCACAGTCATTCCATGTAGATAATTGGATTTATTTATGTTATTTGTTTTTGCATATAACAGATTATACTTACATATGTTACAGTCAGTGTCTATAATCAGGCCCAATATGTATTTTGACTGAAAATTTCAGTCAATATGCATATTGACTGATTCACTCAGGTAAGGCATATTTTTTCTTAAATTTTCATTCATTTATTATTGCCTGAAAAATAGGACCGGATTTTAGACAGACTGGCTGAAATGAATAAGACTGCATAATTTAATCCTCCTCAATTTAATTTAGATCTATTTTCATCTTATGAAGATCAAAGTAACTTACCGGTATGTAAGAAATTAAAAATGTTTTAACAATGAAATTGATTGATTCTCCAAACATGAAATAATACCAGAGTTCTTTTTATGTTACTTATCTTTATTGGCATAATATTCAGTTCAGAAACAAATGACTGCTAAAAAGTCATGCATGTGTAATCAAATACTAGTACACATGCACAAGTATTCCAAGATATTAATGAAAAAATAAGACTCATTTGCAATGCAGATATCTGTTTGTGTGAAGAGAAAAAAGAATAACATTAATAATTTGTTTATGTTGGAATCTGAAACATCAGTTTAGAACAAGGAAACATAAAAAGCCAGGCCTAATGAAGTTAAGAATCAGCTTTATCAGTGTTACAATCATATGATTATTGTCAGTGCAAACTGGATGTAGACACTGCAATGTTACTACAATCAACATTATAGAGATTGAAAATAAGAATGAATATATGTTTTATTTTATAAAAAATTGTAGTTGGTACAAATACTCTTGAATGTGTATTTTTAACTAGATCTAATATATAGGGTCCTCTGTGTCTGAAAATTATTTTTTTCTACTTTGTAAAATTTAAAAAAAGGCCAAAATAATATATATCTTTCATTGATCATATTGAAATATAATCATGGTAGTATTTGGCAACAAACAGCCACCATTCATACATAAAATCCGTTTATATACAACATGCATCAATTAACTCTTAAATAATCAAACAGATTTCAGAGATTTCCATTTCTTTTATTTTGAACATTTTATTTTGATATCGAGTTGGTGACATAATTTTACAGTGCCTGTTTCTCATACAATTTCTTGAAAAAATTTCTCATTGCTCTCAGTTATATATCTGACAAATACTTCCATGTGTTGCTGTCAATATTCACAACATTGAGACTACCGTCAAGTTTACGTTGCATAAGACCTTCACATTTCGCGTACCGCTGTACAACCTGAAATGCATGCATATGATGTAGCCTGCTCGGCGATACTACAACATAGACATAGGAACGTATACAAAATCTACTTAATTTTTAAAAGTGTGATATTCATACATCAAGGGCAACACTTGTAGTGGTCCATAAGCTGGTTCCCGGCTCCCGATGCACAACGTCAGTTGACCTTTGGGTGGTAGCGCACCCATCCAAAGAGTTACTTCCCTTTGACCATGGAAATTTTTTTATCATCAATTCACTTTCTCACAAAGGCATGCAGGTGCATCATTTGATCAGGTGTTAAACCTATCTAATTCCGGAAAGAAATTGACATTCCAAACATCCCATCCACCCACATACTGAGCAGTTTACATGGACATTACTTAATCTTCACACTAGGTTTTTTAGGGCAATAAATATGGGAAACTCATGAGTTAGTGACTCCTCCATTAGGACTCATGGGGCATTTGTGACAATATTTAGGAAATAGAAGGATAGAAGTCAAACATTAAAAATGAATTTATAACGAATTAGTGAGTGAGTACGGTGTTGCGCCGTTTTCGGCAATATTCCACGAATATCGGTTCGGGGGGCACCAGAAATGCGCTTCACACATGTACCCATGTAGGCAATTGAACCTGGATCTTCGGCATGAGGAGCTAACCCTTTAAACAATAAACTACCCACCACCCCCTGTTGAGAAGGAGAGTATCCATCTCTGGCAGTCTGGGTTCATGGTTCAGTGTGGACAGTAATATTTTGTAGGCTTGGGAACATTTTGTCATAACATCCTGACATTGATTGGAATAGATGCGGTTATGATGCAACGCCTATCATATTTCATCCATACATTTCCTCATGGATATCACCTTGGTGAGGTGAGGTGAGGTGAAATGGGGTTTAACGTCGCGCACATAGTGACGTTCATGCACATGTGTGTGTGCGTGCGTGGCTGCTTGAACTAGCCAGTTTTACAGTGCTAGTCCACTGAGATAACATGCCGCAGTTTAACATTGACACCCCATTCAGACACAGTATACTGACTCCGAGCCGACCAGTCGTTGTTTTACCATCTTTTAACGTCTTTGGTATGATGCGGCTTGAGATCGAACCACTCACCTTCCTCTCTCGGGGCAGACGCTCTATCCACCAAACCACGGATCCGGTCTTTCGGTCACGCCACTCCATGAGATAAACATGTTATTTGATAAGAAAGGACAAATATCCTCTATACTTTACCGTTATAATAAACTATCAAATCATTTGAAATTACGTTTCACTTTTTTACTATTTACGTAACAGATGTAAGAAAGAATGCTTGGAAAAAAATAAGTATTTATTCTAATTTCTTATCGATCATTGTTTAACAGTTTTAAATTTTTAACGAAGCCCCAACATTAATTTATATTTCTTAATCTGAAATGTTCATATCATGATATTTTTTTTCTTCATATAACATCTTTTCTTTAATGAAATAATATCTGATAATCTGATAAAATATCAATAAGATGTTAAAGATTATATATTCTTAGCTGTCTCCTACTTAATGTTTTAACCCATGAAGGTCCGGAGTAGAATAGGTCTTTAGCAACTAGGGCTGGGACGAGTCCAAATTTACTACCCGGGTACCCACACCCCTTTTACTCGACCCTACCCGGGTACCCGCTGTTGGTGTCAAAAGAAAGGTACAAAATGTCCAATTAGGAATAGTTTGACAGTAGCCCTTGCAAAATGTATAGATACACGTATAAAACGATGTTGTCATGCATACACTGATGTTGACTGAAGTTTTAGCTTTGTTTAAACATATATATGTCAGAAGGAGTGTGTTCATAGTCATAAAGAAATGCGAACATTAGATACTTAAAATTGTCATGTAACTATGCAGTTATATAGTGAATTTTTGTCACGAAACAATATATCACGTGATAACCACGGGTCCGGGTAGTCCTGTGGGTACCCAGGTCCTTCTCCGTACCCACCCGACCCGAGTACCCGAGTTGCCCGTCCCAGCCCTATAAGCAACACATACTTGCCGTAAAAGGCGACTATGCTTTTCGTAAGAGGTGACAAACGGCATCGGGTGGTCAGACTCGCTGACTTGGTTGATGCATGTCATCGTATCCCAATGGCATGGATCGATGTTCATGATGTCAATCACTGGATTGTCTGGTCCAGACTCGATTATTTACAGACCACCGTCATATAGCTGGAATATTGCTGAGTGTGGCCTTAAACAACAACTTATGTTTTAAGTGGTTTGTTATGGTTATGTCATGCATGTCAATCCTGTTTTAGCAAGTCAGAGTACTCCAGTAGACAAGTATTGTTGAACATGCCCCTGGTGATGACCTGAAACTAGTGTACCAACAACCATGCAGGGTCTGATGATGGCACCTGTCATCTCGATATACCAGTCCCCGTGAGGTCCCGGTCAGAATAAATCCTAGCACCCTTCATATTGCTGGTTATGAAAATAGTCATAGTATGATTATAGTCACTGTCGTACCATAAATTTGACTGACCCTTACAAGCTGCTGGTTGAATAGTAACTAGTAACACCCAGAATCGTGCCTGGGGGAATTATTTCAGCTCATAATTAATTTTGCTCCATTTAAATGATGGCGCGACTTAACTTCACTCCTTAAAATACAGCCGAGCTCCTCTCTATAACACCCAAGTGCAATCGCAAATGAAGTCGGGAGCCAGTTGACGCTTTTTTGTAATATCGCGTGATCTTACGAGACTTCATGTCTTCCTTGACGACGGTTGTCACTTTGATGTTACATCGACGCCATTTTTCATGCTACATCTGCACTTTGCTTGTCTGAAAGCGTTATTTTCCTGTCCTTAATTGCAATTCTTGAACCTGCCACCATGAATGCGAGCACTTATATTCAAGGTACAATTCTAATTACGCTTCAGTAGATTCCGTACCTACATGTTGGTATATTAGTGTCATGAGGTAGTGTGTATCATCATGTTTATGATCTGTCATGATTCCTGTACTGAACCACAAACACTTTGCATGCTTTAGGGGCTTAAGATGCAGGGCCCTTTGTGTACCTTGAACTTGTAAACATTATAATAAAATGTGGGTTCTCTGTATTTTTTACAACTCATGACATTCTTTATGCGCCTTTCCTACCATGATAACATGTTGATTTGGTTGTAAAATGAATTCCGTAAATTTATTAACAGTGGTTTATATGAAATGTTTGTGAGTCTTGGGGTAGTCTTTTGGGTGGGAACTGCCCCCACTGAAGTTACAAATAGCCCAAGTGGAACATCCCCTATCCCCCACTTTTATAAACCTGGATCTGCCCATGATTTCTTATAAACTCTGAGCCCAAATCAATATTGTATGGCTAGGCTGAATCCCTTGTATTTTATCAAATAGACTTAGTTTAGCAGTGAAAGGTATAAAGTAACAGGGAGATATACTTTGCAGTGTCTAGGCTAGCTGCCCTTTATTGGTTATTTCAAGTACCCTTTATCCAACATAAAACTGGAACATTCTGGAAAAGGGGAACCCCTAAAAGCTTAGCGATATACCATCTATCTGTCAGCACAAATAATTTATTAACTGCAAAATGATATATTATTTACTAGTCACCAGCCAAAGGTTAGGGACCAGCAACATACATTCTGGGTGTTTAATACCCTGTATGTTTATTCTTCTGTTTCCCCACAGTTGATCGGATGATCTGGTTCCTCCAGCCTCTGTCCAAACTGACTTATCCTGCCCCTTGCCATGTAGGTGTCCTAAAGGCTTGTCTTTAGCAATGCCTGTTTAGTACTTCCATGAGTTTTCACCAATATGTGGAACACCCACCTCTGTGTACTGGTCCCTGTTTTCATAAAGCCGTAACTGAATGTTTATACTATTTTCCTACCTTCCAACAGTGTGCAATTAATAAAAACCTATTATGAATGTTGAGAGTAGTTTGGTTCAAAGGCTTCGGTAATTCTGCGAAGTTTGTCACATTTGTATTTCCAAGAATATCCTTCATGTCATCATCTTTACTATAGATGCTCATCATGTCAATCACTGGATTGTCTAGCCCAGACTCGATTGTTTACAGACCGCCGTCATGTAGCTTGAGTACTGCTGATTGCGGCGTTTTTAAACAACAAACAAATTATCTACCTTTCAGTATCTACTATATATATATATATATATATATATATATATCATATTTATCGCCTTTTCTATCTTTACCACCATAATCCTTTTTTTGCTGCAATAAAATTCAATGATTGAATAACCTTTTCCATCTACATAATATTCTTTCCTCACATTCCATTCTTTCCACTACCTCCCTATCTATAGCAACCCACTTCAAAGTCCCTGACCATCCCTGCCCACTTGTCTCACCTGCCCGTCCCACAGACCCTTCGCCCCAGCACTGTCCCTTCTGTGTCCCTCACTATCGCTGGTCAGTACATCGTGGACGACACTGACTTTGTTGAAGTAGATCTCGTGGATGAGGAGATCATCCAGCCAACCCACTCCTTCCTGAAGGCCTTGCTATCCAGGGTGGCCAACTTCTTCAGAAGAGTCAAGAGTGTGTTTAAGAAGAAGGATGATTAGGCAGTGAACTCTGAACACATATGTATATACTTATATACAAAACATTTATGAATCATTTTAGGACTTTTGAGGCATTTGTTACAATATTTGGGAAATACATAAAATCTATCTCTGTTTGTTTTTGGCTATATACTTTATGTTAATGAAATACATTATTTGTTACAACATTTTGTTTTGTTTTGATTGGTTCATTTTCTGGCTATGTTCTAGACTAACGCAGTGGCGCAGTCGTCTACTAAGGCGCCGCGATTCGCTGTGCAGAGTTGCGTCCCTTGGGCACGCCAGAAACCTATGCTTGTGGGTTAGAATCCCGGTTCGCCCCGATTATGTTTCTAGGTTTGTCAGCACCATACCCGTGCTCGTGGGTTTCCCCGAAGTGGTAAACGTCTCAGACCTGCATCAATTCGGGCTGACACGCCATGATATAACTGGAATACTGTTAAAAGCGGCGTTAAACCCAATTCACTCACTCACTCACTCTAGACTAACGCATGGTGATCACACATGTAGTCCATAAACAGCTGCTACATCTGGGACGGCACGCAGGTGCACCATTTGAACAGGTGTTTAACCTATTTAATTCTGGAAAGAAATTAACATTCCAAACGCCACATCCACTCACATACTGAGCAGTTTACACGGGCATTACTTAATCTTCACACAAGTGTTTTTAGGATAATAAATATGTGAAACTCATGAATTAGTGAGTCCTCCTTTAGGACTCTTGAGGCATTTGTTACAATATTTAGGAAATATTACTTGCAAAATGTTTGGTAATAATCAAATCATGGAGTAGAAAGTTGTACCACGAGCAATACATAACTTCTGACCACCATGGGAAATTAATGCATGGAGTGTGGCAGACGTTGTACCACAAATCATTTTGTGGAGTTCTTTCCAACACCGGATTAATGTCATGGCCCCACAGCATTGTGTTTCCAAGGTTCCAAACAATTGTTACACGCACGCACGCACGCACGCACACACTGTACCATGAACACACAGAGTGACGAAGATGAATAAATCCTCTGGTTGCAACATTTCTTATTGACTAAATGGTCTACATTTTGGTACAGTTGCAATATGTTTCATCTTTGACAACCAGGCTGTTCCTGGTAGGCCCAGGATACAAATCAAACATTTAAAATGAATTTAAAACGAATGAGTGAGTTACGCCGTTTTCAGCAATATTCCACAAATATCAGTGCGGGGGACACCAGATATGCACACGTACCCATGTAGGCAATTGAACCTGGGTCTTCGGCATGAGGAGCTAACCCTTTAAACAATAGACTACCCACCGCCTCCTGTTGAGAAGGAACGTATCCATCTCTGGCAATCTGTGTTCATGGTTCAGTGTGGACAATAATAATTTGGAGGCTTGGGAACATTTTGTCATAACATCCTGACATTGATTGGAATAGATGCAAGAACTCGGCTAAACGGTTATGATGCAACGCCTATCACATTTCATCCATACATTTCAACATGGATATTACCTTGGTGAGGTGAGGTGAGGTGAGGTGAAATGGGGTTTAACGTCGCGCATATAGCGACGTTCATGCAGGTGTGTGTGTGCTGCGTGGCTGCTTGAACTCGTCGGTTTTACAGTGCTAATTATAATCCACTGAGATAACATGCCGCAGTTTAACATTGACACCCCATTCAGACACGGTATACTGACTCCGAGCCGAACAGTCGACCACCCGACCAAGGTGAGCTCATGCCATACCCTGGCCTCCGTCGTCCGTCGTCCGTACGTCAACAATTTATTCAAACGACTTCTTCTTCTGAACCACTAATTGGAAGATAGACACAATTTTATGGATAACAACTTCTTTAATACTGCCAAGTTGTTATCCATAAAATTGTGTCTATCTTGTCATCCGTCAACTTCTAAGTAATGCCTATCAAACAATTTTCACTAATTGGAAATTAACAAAATTAGACTGGAAGCATCCCTAGGTGTTGGGGATTCAATATTGTACAAATGGTGGGGCTGACATCGCTGAGGGACGGGGCCAAATAGGGGTAATTTGGCTAGAACTAAGAACTAAGAGATAGATATCAACCATATTTGTTTGGAAGCATTCTCCGGTGGTGAGAATTCAAAACTGTACAAATGGTTGGGCTGACACCCCCAAAACTGCTGAGGGGCGGGGCCAAATAGGGGTAATTTGGTTATATTGCTTTAAACGACTTCTTCTCTGGAACTATGAGATAGATATCAACCATATTTGGTTGGAAGCATTCTCGGGTGGTGAGAATTCAACATTGTACAAATGGAGGGGCTGGGACGCAACCCCCAACCCCCTGAGGGGCGTGGCCAAATAGGGGTAATTTGGCGTAATTGTTTTAAACGACTTCTTCTCTTGAACTAAGAGATAGATATCAACCATATATTGTTGGAAGCATTCTCCGGTGGAGAGAATTCAAAATTGTACAAATGAAAGGGCTGATCACCCCCCAAGAGGCTGAGGGGCGGGGCGAAATGGGGGTAAATCGGCCATATTGCTTCAGACGACTTCCTCTCTGGAACTAAGAGATAGTTATCAATCATATTTGGATGGAAGCATTCTCCAATGATGGGGATTCAAATTGGAGAAATGGAGGGGCTGAACCCTACCCCCACCCCCGGGGACTAAGGGGCGGGGCTAAAAAGAGTTTATAACTTGGACACAGTTAAGATCCCCACCGTATAAACCATATGTACAATTGAGAGTATAATGAGAGGATTGCACATATGCTACCAGGACTGGCCCTTCTGTTCATCTGTCTGGCACTCCCAAAGGAGTTAAAACCTTGACCATTACATGCAAACCGATATTATCCCCACCCTATAACAAACAGATGCATTGTATACATATGTTTGTTATGAAGAGAATAATACCTTTAATATGATATATCCGGGATCATAACATGGAAACGGCTCAGATTTTTGTGCCACATTTGTATCTACATAAATACACGTTTATGCTGTCAGATTTGCCACCCACCAATTTTAAATACTGACAGAGTCAAAATTACGAAATATTTGCAGTATTATACACGTGTACAATGCAAATGTATATTTTGTAATGATTGCGTCAATATCCAGGTGAGCGATACAGGCCTTATGGGCCTCTTATTCTAATTACTTATCGATCATTGACAGGGTATGAAACTCCCAAAAATTTCAGCCAGACCACAGGACTGACTAGCTGAAATACTTGCCAGCCCTGACCAAAACCTGCCTGCCCACTATAATCATATGTTTCTCAGGATAATTTAATTAAAACTTTAAATCGAATTCATTGAACATGAAGTAACGCAAGAAAAGAAATAGCAAACACTTTATAGGTCAGGTTTGTGTTTAATATCCTAGAATACATCATGTAAGTATCCTTATTCCTAAATAGGGCCTCATGACTTTCAATCAATGTACATATCACTGTCAGTGTGATTGTGATTGTCACTTCCTTCAACGAGGTCACTGAAGTCTGACTCATAGTCAGAATCTTGATATCTAGTAGCAATATCCGTGGTAACAGCTGCTCTTGCAATGGCATCATCATTTTCTTCGTCTTATTGGTCAAGTTGTTCAAGGGATTCTTTCAGCTGCTCTGGCACAGTCTTTTTATAGTCCATGAAGTCTGGCCTCCTATGATGGGACTTGTTCCACTTGTGGATGGCTTCATCAGGTAGTAAATCATTAGAATGATTAGAATGTAGCTGTCTTGTCATCAACAATGTAATAGATGAACTCTTCAGGTTATTTCTGAATTGAGATTTTATAATTTTCATGTGGGAGAATCCCCTTTCACATTCTGCAGTTGCAGCTGGCAAAGACAGAATCAAATCTATCACGAGCAGGATGTTGCAGCGTCTCCCAGTCCCAGCTACTCCATACAGCTTGTTAACAACCTCCCAGGACATCTTGTGAACATCATGGCTGCAGGAAAAGATTGAAAGCTGAATGAGACATCAAACTTTCTAAGTTGATTTAATTTTTAAAGGTTGAAAGATTTACCTTTGTAATTATGCCAATTTAGTTATTACAATACCAATCATAATGAATAAACTGAACTTCTAATTGAAGCAACTTAAACAGGTGCAAACCTCTCATAAAAACCTTGTTTAAGGAATGTCCATTCATTGATTGACAGTTTTGAATTTTTAACGAAGCCTCTACATTAATTTATATTTCTTAAACTGAAATATTCATATCATGATATTTTCCCCATGTAATATCTTTTCTTTAATGAAAAAAGCTAATATGAAAGCTGTCTCCTACTTAATGTTTTAAGTGTTTTATTCGGGTAAAGTCATGTCAATCCTGTTCAAGCAAGTCAGTGTACTCCATAAGACAAGTATTGTTGATCATGCCCCTGGGCATGACCTGATCGTGACCTGAAGGGGCGGTGAAGTAGCCTAGTGGTTAAAGCGTTGGCTCGTCACGCTGAAGACCCGGGGTCGATTCCCAACATCGGCACAATGTGTGAAGCCCATTTCTGTTGTCCCCCGCCGTGATATTGTTGGAATATTGCTAAAAGCGGCGTAAAACCATACTCACTCACTCATGACCTGAAACTAGTGTACCAACAACCATGCAGGGTCTGCTGATGGTACCTGTCATCTCGATATACCAGTCCCCGTGAGGTCCCGGTCAGAATAAATCCTAGCACCCTTCATATTGCTGGTTATGAAAATAGTCATAGTATGATTATAGTCACTGTCGTACCTTAAATTTGACGGACCCTTACAAGCTGCTGGTTGAATAGTAACTAGTAACACCCAGAATCGTGCCTGGAGGAATTAGTTCAGCTCATAATTAATTATTTTGCTCCATTTATATGATGGCGCGACTTAACTTCTCTCCTTAAAATACAGCCGAGCTCCGTCTCCAACACCCCAGTGCAAGCGCAAATAAGGTCGGGAGCCAGTTTAACTTTATTTTGTAATATCGCGTGATCTTACGAGACTGCATGTCCTCCTTGACGACGGTTGTCACTTTGATGTTACATCGACGCCATTTTTGATGCTACATCTGCACTTGGCTGTTCTGAAAGCGTTATTTTCCTATACTTTATTGTAATTCTTGAACCTGCCACCATGAATGCGAGCACTTATGTTCAAGGTACAATTCTAATTACGCTTCAGTAGATTCTGTACCTACACGTTGGTATTTTAGTGTGATGAGGCATAGTGTATCATGGCTCCTGTACTGATTTTCAAACACTGCATGCTTTAGGGGCTAAGATGTTGAATGTAGGGGGCCTTGTGTACCTTGAACTTGTAAACATTATTAGAAAATGTGGGTTCTCTGTATTTTTTACATCTCATTGACATTCTTTATGTGCCTTTCCTACCATGATAACATGTTGATTTGGATGTAAAATGAATTCCGTAAATTTATTAACAGTGGTTTACATGAAGTGTTTGTGAGTCTTGGGGAAGTGTTTTGGGTGGGAACTGCCCGTATTTGAGTTACAAATAGCCAGAGTGGAACACACCCCTGCCCTAACTCCTTTTTTTAAATCCTGGATCTACTCATGATTCTTATAAACCCTCAGAATGTACACAGCAGTCTGAGTCCAAATCAATATTGTATGGCTAGGCAGAATCCCTTGTATTTTATCAAATAGACTTAGTTTAGCAGTAAAAGGTAAACTGTAACTTATTATCCAATATTTTGTCTGAAGGGATCAAGTTCAAGTTATAAAGTAACAGGGAGATATACTTTGCAGTGTCTAGGCTAGCTGCCCTTGGTTATTACAATTACCCTTTATCCAACATAAAACTGGAACATTTTGGAAAAGGGGAACCCCTAAAGGCTTAGCTATATACAACCTATCTGTCAGCACAGATAATTTATTAACTGGAAAATGATATATTATTTACAAGTCACCACCCAAAGGTTAGGGACCAGCAACGTACATTCTGGGTGTTTAATACCCTGTATGTTTATTCTTCTGTTTCCCCACAGTTGATCGGATGATCTGGTTCCTCCAGCCTCTGTCCCAACTGACTTATCCTGCCCCTTGCCATGTAGGTGTCATAAAGGGTTGTCTTTAGCAATGCCTGTTTAGCACTTCCATGAGTTTTCACCAATATGTTGAACACTTCTATGTACTGGTCCCTGTTTTCAATAATGCTGTAACAGCCTGTAACTGAATGTTTATTTCTCTACCTTAAACCAACAGTAAGCAATTAATATAACCCTATTACAAATGTTGAAAGTACTTTGGTTCAAAGGCTTCAGTAATTCTGTAAAAATTGTCACATTTGTATTTCGAAGAATATCCTTCAAGTCATCATCTTTTCTATCAATGCTCATGATGTCAATCACTGGATTGTCTGGTCCAGACTCGATTATTTACAGACCGCCGTCATGTAGCTGGAATATTGCTGAGTGTGACGTTTTTAAACAACAAACAAACTATCTACCTTCCCTTTGCATTATCTACCTTTCGGTATCTACTATTTATATCATATTTATTTACCTTGTTTCTTTTTTCACACCTTTTCTGTCTTTACCACCAAAATGTTTTATTTGCTGCAATAAAATTCAATGATTGAATAACTTTTTCCATCTAAATAATATTCTTTCCTCACATTCCATTCTTTCCACTACCTCCCTATCTATAGCAACCCACTTCAAAGTCCCTGACCATCCCTGCCCACTTGTCTCACCTGCCCGTCCCACAGACCCTTCGCCCCAGCACTGTCCCCTCTGTGTCCCTCACTATCGCTGGTCAGTACATCGTGGACGACACTGACTTTGTTGAAGTAGATCTCGTGGATGAGGAGATCATCCAGCCAACCCACTCCTTCCTGAAGGCCTTGCTATCCAGGGTGGCCAACTTCTTCAGAAGAGTCAAGAGTGTGTTTAAGAAGAAGGATGATTAGGCAGTGAACTCTGAACACATATGTATATACTTATATACAAAACATTTATGAATCATTTTAGGACTGTTGAGGCATTTGTTACAATATTTGGGAAATACATAAAATCTATCTCTGTTTGTTTTTGGCTATTTTCTTTATGTTAATGAAATACATTATTTGTTACAACATTTTGTTTTGTGTTGATTTGTTCCTTTGTCTGTTATGTTCTGGCTATGTTCTCGACTAACACATGGTGATCACACATGTAGTCCATAAACAATTGCTACATCTGGGAAGGGATACAGGTGTACCATATAAACAGGCGTTCCACCCACCTTATTATTCCACGCCATGATGTGGGGCCAGGTATATTGGAACGGAGTTTGTCCGTCCATCTGTCCTTCTCTCTTAGTCTTTCAGTCCGTCTATCCGCTTTTCAAAGGGGACAAATTTTCTCAAGGAATATTCCAGGAATATTACAGAGGGGACCCACTACCCCCTGTTGATAAGGAGATTATCCATCTCTGGCAGTCTGTGTGTGCATGTTAGATATTGACACAAGTCCTCTAGTCCTTGCCCAAATGTCCAATAGTTTAGGTATCATGAGGAATAGTAGAAATTTGCCATTTTGAAGGCGTTTGCTATAAGTTATCTTTAAAAGGCACAGTGGACTAAAACTGTTAGTTTCTATCTGATTTGAATAGAGGCGAGAACTCGGCTAAACAGATATGATGCAACACCGTTCACAGTTCATCCATACATTTCAACATGGAAGTCCTACTTTGGGTATATGTTCTTGGTACTACTTTCTTTTACTGACTTTTGTATGCCCATATTTTATGTGCGTAAATATAATTATTTAAAACGTAAATATATTCTAATCTTTGATTTTCTTTTCCTGTTTTGAATACATAATTGTGTTTATCATGTTCATGTTTGTAATGTTTTCATTTGTTTGCTAAGGACATTTCATTATCATGATGTTTATCTGAAGTAAGCCATACATTGAAATTTCCAAAATATACTTGGTATACACTGATACCTTGGCATGATATTCACACATCAGGAAAGAACATGCAAATATTATATCACTTTTGTGAAATGAATGGAAGAGCGTGCTGCAATGTGAATGGTTGAAAAAAGTTATTAAATTTGACCGGTCCCCGGAAATCTTTGACTGTGTATGAATACTGTATATCTTTTTGATTCAAGAAAAGGAGTCATATCATGGATGGTGATATAGGATGATGATCCATATTATTTTTCTCTCAATCTTCAATTTTAAAAATGTACCATTTTCCTTAGCAAAATAGATTACAACACTAATATAATATTTCGTTTGATCAAAGCTTATCAGAAAATTTTGATTTAGTTTTGTGCATTCTGCTGAACAGGCAGGTCACTTATCATGGAAACATATGATGTCATTGATTGTATCACGATGTTCCAGCCTGATCTGTCTCACAACTGTGGAACAATGTGCGAAGCCCATACCTGGTGTCCCCCTGTCGTGATATTTCTGGAATATTGCTAAAAGCGTCATAAAACCATACTCACAACTGTGGAGAGAAGCTAATAATTACTGATGTTTTCCGTATTTTATGCTAAGAAATTGAAACATTTGAAACCTCCAGCAACCACTGTCAGTCTCAAATCATATGTTGTCACACCAACAATTCTCTATAAATATACTTTCATACATAAGACAAAACAACTGAAGTCAATCATCTAGAAATAGATGTTTATTCTACACAATACAGATTAGAAATAATATGCAGAAGTCGCGTAGTATCAAAGAACATTTTGAAGTATACCTAGATTTTCATCCATATTCTTGGTTCTGTGACTTTTGTCCAATGAAACAATTCTACCGTGTTTGCACTGTATAACAATGGCCCCAATATGGTAACTAATTCTGTAATGCTATTTCTTTTCAAAACATGCAACTTTTATATCCTGACAGATGATGGTTTTTTTGTCCACCCATAACATAAAGAATCTGCAATGATACATTCTATCCAAAATCGAATATTGTTTTAAAGAATTCCCCAAGGCTGATAATTTTGGGGGAAATTGCCTGGCAGCCTCCCAAATTGTAAAATTTACTTATGTTCCGTGTTTAGACTAAACCTAGACTTCAGTTGCATCCAGCAGTTATATTTTTCAATTTCCATCTCAACACCTTGTGAGCAACATCTATTTTGACATAAGCCAAACAAATATACAGCATAATGTATTTGAACTACATTACTTCTGTGGATTAAGCGTTTAAGCATTTATTCCTGATGAGGAAGGTTGACCTGCGTGAAACTCCTGCTTGAAATAAATAACATGCACAAATCACTGTAAACAGGTGTCATGACTTCAAATAACTTTTTTGGACTACTGATATCAACATTGTGTGGCTCTATGCCAAAATCATTTCTGTCTACTTGGCTGAACTTTGCATTTCATATTTTAGAGTAATAATATGGACTATTATAAGTTGCCCAAACAGAATTTGACTTATCTCAGGCTTCAGACTAGTGTATTAAATCAAGGAATCAAAACTTTCAGATAACCTACTGCTAATATTAGCAAAGTACACAGCAGTTTTCATGAAACATGCCCATCTACCGGTATACTATGGTATAGACAAAACCTTTCCTAAATATTTGACATTTTCTCTTATAAAGTAGGTAATATTAAAACTGGCTTCATTTTGTGACAATTCTTTAACACTAACATCCATTCATAAGGTAAACACACACAAAATATCTTTACAATGGATGTTTTCTCTATGATTTGTGAACGTAGTAAATACACAGTTAAATTCACAACAACCATCTAATGCATACACCAAGGAAGAGCCTGATTTCAAAACCAAATCTATTTTGCAAAAGTATTTTTCCCCACATAAAGCTACCAGTGAAAGTAGATTGCTGCACCAGGCAAAATACACTGCTCAGTGTTTCTAAATTGCAAAGTTTTACCTGAAATCATAGGTGTAGGTAAAACAGCATGGATTAATTCACATTAATAGATTGTATTGACACTGGGAACGGTACAATAATATATCAAGTGATATATCAAGTGTCAGGGGTTAAAAGTAACTTCATATGTCACCAACTCTTGATTGCTAGAATATGCAATATGCAGTGTTGAAAATTATGGGGTTTTTGGGGTCCGTGAGGTCTTCTATGTTATTTGAAACTAGGAACCCCATGAATCTTTAACTCTTAACATGAAGGTTACAACAAGCACAACTTGACTTTCATGCTTAATTTTGAACACTGAATACAACTAGTAAGTTGTAAAGATTTTCATGTTTCGTGAAACAGCCTACTGTCCATTTAGTTGATATCATTAATGCAAGGAAAACCTTATAAATATAATATGCTACTCAAAAGAAGTTAAAGAACACCTGATGTTTCCTATGACTTTAGTTAATATGTGATGGCCATGACAGATTAACTATAGCCATATGAAAACAATCGGGAGTTTAACTTTTGAGTAGTATATTATGTGGGTAGACTGCAGTATTTGGGTCCCCACTTCGGAAACGAAGATTATGTTAGCATCTCATGTTCCTCTTGCCATGTGTACAACAGAATAAACATTTTAAAAAAATATGGAATAAATCAATATATCAGCAAATTAGTGGAATTAAAATAAACTGTTTTGACTGATGTTTAAACTTGTATTGAGTGTACAAACAATGTTCAACCCATGTGTATTTCAACAGGTGTACATAATGGTGAACTATCACAGACAACTGAAGTATACATAATAAATAACTCTTGATATAAGTAACAGAGCATGACAGCCATGTCATATAACATATATACACAATCATATTATGAACGGATATGTTCCTGAGAATAAACTAAGTCAAAATAGTCTATGGGTAAAATGGAAGATCTAATAAATAATAGGATATCACAGAAGATAATACATCGACATATAAGAGGATTTCACTGTCTAAAGACAAACAAGGATCCTCCAATGGCACAAGGGATGGACGGATTTCTGTCACCAGAGGCTGCAAATGATTTCCTTAAACATATTTGCATGAGTCATTTAGGCCAGACCGGTTTCTATTTCTTTATTATGAACAGGCCAAGCCTAACCTTTGAACACACCAAAAATATTGTAAACATGTGTATTATTGAAATAAGCTTTTTGTGAATTGTCTTTGAGGCTGTATTTTTTTGTTAATTTTTAAATTAATCAACCTTGACAACAACAAAATTCCTAACTGATCAAACTAAAAAATAACAAAGAAATGGAAATGGTCTGTCCACAAATGCAAATATCATAACTGCATTTTGAGATGACTTAAATGGACTCGATCATGAAAAAAACCCATCATTTAAAGTCAACACTTAATCAAGGGGTTCAATCCTACGGGTTTATGCTTGGCATTATTACTCATGAAACAAAATATATTTGAATGCAAAATTAATCGTTTTCTTGTACACTATTTACACAGAATTTTTGACAGTATTTACACAAATGTGTCCTTAATCTTGCATCAACACTTGCAGTTTTGAAGATAATTAAGCTGAAGAAATAAACTGATTTCTCCCTTGTCACAGCATCAAGCTATATATCACCAGACATCAATCTGTTTCATATTTAATATTATTTACAGTAGTTTGTAAAAACATATGGTCATCTATCTTCTTGAAATAGTTTTGCTTCATTTCCTAGCATTTCAAAATAATCTATTGATCAATAACAAAATCATTAAAGGCAAAATACCATATTACCTCAAACGCCTGTCCTCGATTAAAATCCGGAGAGTTTTCATGCACAGAATTCTCCCCATTATTATTTCTTTTATTAAACACCAGGGGTAAAAGAGTGTCTGAAAGAAATATACGCCTGGCCTTTTAATCAAGGAAATATGGTATTCATAATTGAATTTGCCTGATCTCTTACATTTGTACAAATAAGTGCCAAGTTGGGTTTGACTGAAAATATATTCAACATTCTTTCCAAATTAGGAATAAATAATCCAAAAGTCACTAATGCAGCATGCAGACATAGCCAGAAATATGTTCTTGTCTGACATCACCAGTCTCGACTTCCCAATTTAGTCAGATAGTTGTGGATGTTGACGTTGCCTCCATTGGAGCAGTCTCCGAGAGTGTGGATGATCACATACTCAGGAATGTCAAGGTTGTAAGACTTGTTGTACAGGTTGGTCCAGTTTAGTACCTCCTCTGCGGGGAGCAGTCCTATTGGTATGAACCAAAACAGATTTGATCATAATCTTTAAAATGAAACTATTTTCCTTTGCCACAGATCATTGTATTTACATACATTTGAATTCTCTTCAAAACTGAAATGAGTTTGATAAAAAATCGTACCAAATGTTTAGAAGCTGCTCCTATTCCATGAAAATATTAGGAGTTTAACTGATGTTCAAATGAACTGAGCACTTATTAGAACCAGTAATTTCCTAATAGATTCATGAATATAAAACTGCCTGCAATAAAAAAACATTATTCACTGAATCAGTAACTTGAACAGCTCAACAAGCTTCTCACTTTTACAGAAAATCATATATGTTTAGTCTGAAAAATATGGTAGTGTATTTTAAAAAGTGAAATACTATTACCGGTAATTATACATTTATGCAAACTGTAAAGACGGTGGGTGATTTCTCGATATGTCTGTAGTTAAGTATGAATATTTTTATTTTATTTTTGTAATCATTTCAGGATGTGGTACCGGTGCTACACGTTTTCACATAGAGTAACATGTAATATTACATGTATAAGTGTAGGTAACATACATATACATCAATATTTTTGTAAAATACCTACGGTTAAATAATCTGAATTCAGACCAGCAGACATCCTTAACTCCCTATCCCATCAAACACTATTTGATGTCCAGATGTTCTTATGACAACAAGTAGGCACACTGACACCATGAAATGACCTATCGTCATACCAGACATATGTATGTGCTAGACACTGACCTGTGCTTCTGGAGTCCTGCTTGTACAGGGCGTTGGCAAACTCCATGAACATCTTGAACCAAGGGGAGTCATCTCGGGGAGATGCAAGTTTCTTCTTCATTACCTAAAGTGGAGGTGAAGTAAGAGGAAATAGGATTTAATGTCGCATTCAAGATTAGTGCACTCATATAGTGATGTGTCTGTCTGTGTGTGCTTGTACTTGTCCAGACGAATGCCAACTTATAGTGCTAACCCACTGAGATACCATGCCGCAGCATAACATGAATACCCAACTCCGACACAGTATACTGACTCCGAGCCAACTAGTCTTGATTAGCCCCTTAATGTCAAGTGCCAGGCAGGGTAACAAGTACCATCATTTATTGGTATGATGCGGCAGGGGATTGAACCACTACCACAAAGTTGGTCTGAACACCTTATAGAGCAAGCACACCTGTTCATGAAAAGGGTAGGCTATGGGTGGCGAAGTAGTTTAAGGTGACAAACCAGCTGTGCAGAGTTGCATCCCTTTGACAAGCCTGAAACCTTGAGTGCAGGTTTGATACTTGAATTCACAGTGCTTATGTGTGTCACCATATACTCATGAAGAGGGAACCAAGATGCCTTGGTAGTAATTTATCATTTCAATCATTTCCAATAGTATTTTACTCACCACTACAAACTACTACAATCTCATATCAAAACTACCTTCCATCAAGAAATCTTAGTGTGTACTTAAAGGGTATGTCAAAGTTTTGTGGGATATGTTATTCTTTGACGGTGGCATAATTGCCAACAAACGTACATGAATTAAACACATAAACAATATCACGAAAAAAGAAAGTCTCCAAAGTGACAAATCTCTCTACCAAATAGGGAAGTGAGTTAGCCTAGTGGTTAAAGTGTTAAAACGTATAACGCTAGAGGTTTGAGTTCCGTTTCCTACATGGTTACACTGAGTTACGTGTACCCTGAGGGAATATTGCTAAAGGTGGTTCAAAACCCTGCTCGTTCACCCTCACACCTACCAAATAGTGAATGAGTCTTGTTAACATGGCTTACAACAGAGGACACTGACCTCATACCCAGCCTCCAGATGCTTGAGGTCCTTGTCCAGCTTCTGTATGGTGTCTCGGTTGCTCTTCAGCTGATCTGTCTCCATGTCATAATGATCCTTCTTCTCATACAAGTTGTCATGGCCATGTGGTGCCTTCAACACCAGATAGACCACTCAAGATATGTGCTGGTCAAATGTGCTATAACAGCCTAAGACTACATTAAAGAATGGGCGTCAAAGGACTAAGATGGCTCTGTCATACAGAGCCCTGCCCAGCAACACCATTACATGGTAGATAACTTGTTGGCTTATGACTTAGATAAGACATTAGTAAGACAATTGGGTCATTATTATGGGTGTAGTTAGAAAAAAATATTTCCAAATTGAATATTGAAATTTCCCCCAACACTGCCCTACTCATGTAGTTTTTATCGTAACTAATGTTTTAGTTTTTGCAGGATCAAGGGAGAGAAAAAGGTTTATGCTACTTCTGAATTTCATGAGAAATGGCTTTTTAAAAGAATCCCAATTCGGGGCAAAATACTTCACCACTTTGCCACATGCACTATCTTAGATTTATCCCTGATGATGATATTTGGAGGTTAAATATTTCCTAAACATTCAGATCAGCCAACATTTCAGAAGATAACACCTACATCCTTCCTCCACAGTGGTGTCACAGGCTGTTGTCCCTGTTGGACAGGGTTGTTCTCTACAGCTCGAGGCCAGCTCCTGACTGGAGAGGGCACCTGCTTAGCATACTCTAGGGGCTTTTTACTTCTGGGGATGTTCAGGCCAGTCTTTGCTGGCTGCACCTTCTCCAGAAACTCCACAAACTTCACCCAGCTAGAAGATGAGGAACATTTGTCAGAACACACAAATTCCAACATGCAATGATAGTGTATCTTGAATATAGGGCCTGTGGTGTTTTGTAGCATATTGTAGACTCTATTATTTACAGGTCACCATCATATACAACAACCAAACAAATATCTACAGTTAACCTACTTGTACTGCCCATCTCCATTGGTATCTTCACACTTAGCGAGGATCTTGTTCATCACAGATTCCTGAAGTCTGACGCCCTTGGAGAACACGATGCCCTTTATCTGCATCAGAAAGAATGTCAAGTGAATCAGTATGGTATTACACCGTTTTTAGCAATATTCCAGCATTATCACGACGGGGAACACCAGAAATAGACTTAACAAATTGTACCTATGTGGGAATCGAACCTGGGCCTTCGGCGTGACGAGCGAACGCTTTAACCATTAGGCTACCCAATTGCCCCTTAGAGAGAAAATGTCAAGATTAACATCTTGTCTATATCTAGTCTCTGAAATGAAAATATTTGCAGAAAAAAATGTTAAATTAATTTAATAAAAAATAATAAAAAGGAGGCCAGAGACTCACTTCATTTACCGACTATATTATAGACTTGCATGGGCTATATTGGATCTACATGTATTTGATTCAAGGTCTGTATTATAGACTACAAGGCAACAAGAAGACAAATATATATTTTGTAAGCTTAGCTTTAGAACCTAGGCTTCATTACACTAATATACAGTTTAAATAAATCTGAAGGGATGCAACAATTTTGACAAAAGCTGGTCTTGAGAGTCATCTCCCCTTGACTATCATACCTCATCTGCAGAAAGAGTTTCTCTCATTTCCCGGTCAGCTGCCTGGAAGCGAGCCACCAGACCCTCGAAGTCAATGCCATCCTCTTGAAGTTGCTGTTCAGCCATGTTCAGTAATTTCCCCACGTTACTGTCATAGTACGGGGAGGATGGACGACTTGCTCGACTACGGACAGAACAATGTAAAATACTATCAACGTTGAGTGTGTTGCAGAATTGAATTGTTTTCATAAACTTCACTTCACGCAAACTATCACAACATATCATATATAAATATTGATTTTACTGAACATGCTTGGTAGCTTGATCCCATTATTTTAAGTGCTGGTATTATCCAAAATTTTGTTGTAATGTTCAATTAAAGTGTGTTTTTCTAATCATTTCAGAAATACAGGCTGATAATCATGATAATCAACAAACCTATTCAAATTAATAAACTTAAATATTATCAAATATTATGTTGCAATAGACTAGTTGTAATCAGCATGACTATTTTTGTTATGTCCTGTGTTTTGGGACACACAACTTCATGACAAATGACGACCATGAACAATCTATAAATGTCTCATTGAATTACATATATTACATGTAAGTATGATGTAGAAATATATATGACAGAGAAAGTTGTCTCACACAGCACACCATAACACCAGCACCAAAATCACAGCCAATCCAAAACCTCACTCTTAGCAATGGTCATACAAAGTGTAGTCAGAGGTGGATCCAGAAGTTTGAAAAGTGGAGGGGGAAGAGGGGCATCTTCCCAAGGCAAGGGAGTTAACTGACTGTAAAAGTCTAGTTTCCACCCTTGCCGAACTTGGCTGGGATTATGGAGTTATATTTTGGCTGGACTAATGAGTCTATGCATAGTCCAATCAAAATCGTGTAACAAAATCGACATCCGGTTCGTAGACAACATGGATTTCAACGTGCAGACTTTGGTCAACTGCAGGATTTGCATGAAATTATGTGTACCATCAACAGGGCATATTTACCAAATCTTTTCATGTGTTTAATCAAGGTGCTCACGTGATTTGATGCACTTCAGAAGGTACGACCCCTTTTATTACAATATAGATCTTGAGTATTGATCAGATCTTGACTTGGCAGTGTCATAACTCGTAATCGCCATTAGTGGCGCTATGATCGAGGCCAGAATTTCCAGCCTAGTTCGGAGTTTATAGTCAGTTAACTCCCTTGCCTCAGGAAGATGGAAGAGGGGTGGGGATGCACACTACTCACATTGCAAAGTAAACAAGCATGCATGAAGGGACTGACATCAGGTGACAGGAAAAGTGACAAAATACAGCGAGTGTGGTGCACCCCTGCATCCCCTCTGGACCCACCAATATTGGTGCTGGGACACTGCAGTATTGTGCATATATACAAACATACTCAGAGCAAGGATACAATGGTCAATGTTATATTAAAACAAAATAACAATATTTGTATGAATGACTGGTTTACAGCTACACAAGCTTACACCGGTGACTGACTCCATAAATATATATTCTTGGTTCTCAGATATTGGAACACCTTCCAACCCTACTAACGCCCACTCCCACAGGTAGCAATGATTTTCAATGATGTTTCTTCTCGGCAATGTGTATCAAAATCTGGACTACATTGTTGCAATACTTACGGACTCCACGGCCTGGGACCGTCAACATGATTTGTGTAGTAATGACCTTGTTTACCAGTCGACATGTATGATCGAGGACTGTAAAGGTCTACTGGCCAACTGGACAGGAGAGAAAACATTCTAGCCATAGGTGAAATAGTTTTACATTTTCATAAAACATTAAGTGCCTCCAAGACAGGTGTCATTTTAGCACAATTTGAGAATTCTGTTCTTCATTTTTGTCTAGCGCAGAAATCAAAGTTCCATACATATTGTTAGTGTGATCTCCCTCACTGAGAGGTCTCTTTTTCAATAGAAAATGGTAGATAGTTGTTGGATGCCATTTAGTTTATCAACAATTCTGAACTAAGCTGTACCACTTCAGGTCAGCTACTAATAAAGATAAACATCCACCTCTTGAATAAAAAAATATATCAACTAATCATTTTAATCTGTCTTCTATGTTTACAGAACAAATTCTTGTATTAGTTTTGAACTAAATACTCTACTGACTGCAAGAATATCTTCTATGTAAATATTGTTTTAACTAGGCAGAAGCGTTGGGGTGGCCTAGTGGTTAAAGTGTTGGCCTGTTTGCTAATGAACTGGGTTTGATTCCCCACATTGGTATAATGTGTGAAGTCCATTCCTGGTGTCTAGTGCCATAAATAGCTGGAATATTGCTATAACCAACTTACTCACTCTAGACAAGGTTGTTGAGAGATTAATACTATATACTCTATAATTTTGGTGAGTCTATTATAAAAGACTATAAACTGTTTCACTATTCTTTGATTAATCAATCATTCACCTACCGGTATTAGGAACTGGTCATTTATTTTATGGGGTGGGGTGGGGGATGTATGCTTCTTTTTTTTAAGACTGTATCATATTTTGCTGACCCCCAACATTTTTTCATCCCCCCTTCCCCTGTCTATAATAAATGACTACGCCAAGAATAATGTTCAAAGTTATAACTTTAAAAAAAAAATATAGAACTTTGTCATTTTTTCATGACCCCCCCTTTCAATGATATTGTATTACCAAGCATACCATATTCACACCCTGATCCAACAAGAGCACCCTGACCAACTTCTAAAACAAACATGATCTTTTTAAACACCACCTACTAAGACCAAAACTTAACATGGCAGTCTGTGTTTGCGTGTATACATTACAGATTTGTTAAAAAAGCCAGCAGTGTAGAATGCGTATGTAATTGCCTATATTATCAAATAACGTTTAGTTTCATGGACGTTTGAGCTAATTATGTTCACTACCGCTCCATCTCTGGCAACAAAATTAACTTGCTGTTTATGGTTTAATAAGCGCCCCCATTTGTCAATTTTCTAAGTTGAGCTTATTAGGGCAAATGCGGTATGTGATAATGATGTTATACCATTGCACATCGTCAATACTTCACAAGATTTGTATATACAACTTTCCTGTCTGTGGTCCAGCAGATAGAGGGTCTGCCTAGAGAGGGGAAGGTCGGTGGTTCTATCCCCGGCAGTGTCAAACCAAAACATTTTAGAATATAGTACCTTCTGTTGCCCTGCCTGGTGCTCGCCACAAAGCGGATACAACAAGGACTGGCCAGCACCGGGTAAATGTAATGAGTAGGGTATCCATGCTAAACTGCAGCAAGGTATCTCTTAGCATTATAAAGCTTTAATACAAGCAGTCACTCACACATGTGCGTTCACATCGCTACATAAGAGCAATAATTTTTAACCTCATCTCACACTACTTTCCTCTTGATTGATTGATTGATTGATTGATTGATGTGTGTGACCCCACTAGGCATTTTCAATGTACTGTTATTAAGTACTTTGAGGCGGTCATTGGAGCAAACTGTTTGGTAAAACACAACTTCCATGAGAAAACTTGAGAACAGATAAAAACATAAGCATTGCTGTGTTCAATCATTAACTGATAAAACAACTGTTTTATTTACATTGATTTTACTTTGTAATAATATCTGCCTAGTGCCTACTGACCATAGGCCCTAATCTTACTGCCTAGTGCCTACTGACCATAGGCCCTAATCTTACTGCCTAGTGCCTACTGACCATAGGCCCTAATCTTACTGCCTAGTGCCTACTGACCATAGGCCCTAATCTTACTGCCTACTGCCTACTGACCACCCCTGTCAAGTCTCTCTTGTGAGTATGGTAAGTGCAGGCACAGCAGTCTACTGTGAGGGTTCAAACAGGGATGTGCAACAGAGAAACCATGGCAACTGATCAACAATTCAAATACATATGTGTTTGTGATGGTATCCAATTTCAGTCTGATAATATTAATAAAATGTTTCATGAAAAAATAACAATATTGACTTAAAACAGTCATGATAAACAATTTTTAATAGAAACTATTATTTCTCAATATTAATTAAGAATTAATTTTTTAAAAATGGTTGATCAGTTGCGAAAACATGAGTCAGCCATTACAGAATTAATCATTCTGATTCAATGGTTGACTGATGTATGAAGTTATTTGAGTCAAAGCACACAATAAAACCAATAGTCAACTAAAGTTACCCATTGCTGTTTGTTTCCTTCATCGCAGTTCCGATAAATGACAGGAATTTCTCATAATTGACTTCCTGCAGTTTGGTTGGGGATACAAACATGGAAGCTATCAAACGCAGCAAGTCTGATGACAAGGTCAACTGAAAACGGAAAGTATTTATTTGGTTTGAATATATATCTTCAATGAAGCAAACATGTCTTTTGTTTTCTATCATGTTAAATAATTTTAATAAATGACTTCTGTTAACTTTTCCATATCACCTGTAGAGTAGGGGCACTAACTTACTTATACCATGTGGGCTACGAAAGCTACACTGCAAAAACCTTGACACCAAGGCTTGCTCCCCTCTCATCTAAATTGTATAGTCCAACCTCTGCACATTGAATGTGCAGGGTCATTACAAAAAATAACCACCCAAGAAAACAATGGACATAATGCATCGTAGTGATATAACTGAAGATATTGCCCAGTGAACATGGTTTGTCAAACCAGTCTTGGTTTTCGGGTCAGCACATGAATAAACAAAATAGATTTCTTATTTCATTTTTTCCCTTGCTTTTTATGTATGTAAGGTTGTAGACCTGTAAACCAAATATATAAAATATATATCGCCTCATCAATGAAATAAATCAAAATATACCAACATAATAATCATTATTCCATATTCTTCATAATTTTAAAGAATCAAGTTTTAACGTTCACATCTTATCTGCTCTCTTAGAATTCAGAAATTTTCAGAGTACAGCACAGTGCCTTAAATCATTTTACTTTTTGTTTTCCCTGCAGATATTTATGTACAGATGGTACAAAACTATATTTTATAAGATCGCTCAGAAAAATGATCTTTGCTTCTACCGCCATTTGCACTTACCTTGCTGTTTTTGAGTGAGAAAAATACATTTTTATAATGGCACCATCCACTTAGTGTTCTGTCATAGTTCTCTGTAATATCAAGATATGTGTCTTTTAACTTGACAGGATCAGCTCCTTGGAGCTCTGCAGAAACCATCTTCAAAACAGTGGCCTCCTCATCCCTTGTTAAGCCCAGAGGTTGTTCTGGCAAAAATGTATCTTTGGGTAATAAAGCCATGAATTCATATTTCTTATCTTCCAGTGTCAATGATCGACGACGTGTGTCTGGCTGGTAATCCCTTCTCTCTGATGGCATGGGGTCATAGAGTGCTGGGCTTTCTCGGCCATTGACAATAACACCACTTGGTCCACCACTGTAGCCACCACTGGTACCTTCGTTGTTGTAGCCGCCACCACCAGGGCCACCGATGTTGTAGCCACCGCCAATACCATCATTGTAGCCACCAGAACCTCCATTGTAGCCGACACTGGTTCCGCCGTTGTTGTAGCCTCCACCGGTACCACCAGCATGGTAGCCACCATCTATGCCACCATTGTTGTAATTCTGTCCGGAGTCGTCTGGTGCCTGAAGTCTGACGCTGTTTCCACTTGTCCTATTTTGGTACCTCCTAGTCCAAGGCTCTGGTTCAAAGACAGTTGAGCTCTGGTTCTTGACTTTATTGTGGTCAATAGGAGGCAGGTTGACATACCTTCGGCCCAAGTCTTTGGAATCGGGCCGTGCTCGTGCATAAGTTGTTGGTTGGTTGTACCCAACATTGAATTCCTGAAACAAGGAAGATATGTGGATTTATTAAATGACAACAGGCATACATTCTTACTTTCTGGACAACAGTATTTGGGCAAAAATCACTTATGATCACTTTGAAATAAACCCTGGATATCTTTGTATCGGACAAACCAAGAGCCAACTATTTCTGAAAAGTGTGGTTCAATGGAAATGGGTACCTCAGAGGTCTAATCAGGACATATTGACATGGGTACCTTGAAGATCTAGTAGGGACAAGTTGATAGATGGTGCCTCGAAGGTCTAATCAGGACAAGTTGACATGGGTACCTTGAAGGTCTAGTAGGGACAAGTTGATAGATGGTGCCTCGAAGGTCTAATCAGGACAAGTTGACATGGGTACCTTGAAGGTCTAGTAGGGACAAGCGAATAGATGGTGCCTCGTGGGTCTAATCAGGACAAGTTGACATGGGTACCCAAAGATCTAGTGAACAAGTTGACATGGGTACCACGAAGGTCTATTGAACAAGTTGACATGGGTACCTCGAGGTCTAGTAGGGATAAGTTGATGCATGGTGCCTCGAAGGCCTAATCAGGACAAGTTGACATGGTTACCTTGAAGGTCTAGTGAACAAGTTGACATGGGTACCTCAAAGGTCTGGTGAACAAGTTGGCTTGGGTGCCTTGAAGGTCTAGTAGGGACAAGTTGATAAGGGTACCTCGAACAGCTAGTGAACAAGTTAATATGGGTACCACAAAGGTCTAGTTTGGACATGTTGACATGGTTACCTTAAAAATCTAGTAGAGTCTATTAGTGGGTACTTATAGAAAGACTTTGAAACAAGAAGTGTTGACAATGTGACAGAAAGGGCATAGATCTCATGGACAATGGAAATAATATTCTAGTGGTGTAAAGATACACCAAAAGATTTGGTTAGTGCATTGCAATAGTTGTGCCATGATATGAATATCATATTATGATGTCTTCGACTCATGAATTGATACAAACTGAACAAGAAGGATGAAACAAGAAATATTAACAGGTTTGAAAACAAATCCCAATGTCACACTTTCAGATAATATTTAAAAGAGTTCTCAAGTGATGTCACTTCAGTTGAATCAAATTTGCTGAATATGTGTTGGTATGGCCCCTACTAATTCCCTTTGTTGATGGAATATGTCTTTTTAACAAATGTAGAACTTGTGTGTACAGTATAGTGGGTGAGTGAGTTGTGTTTAATGTTCTTTGAACCATATTTTAGTTATACCAAGGCATGTCAGCCTAATGTGGGAGGAATGCCCAATTTGGTGCAAGCTTAAGATGTTGGTGAAACCCACAATCCATCGTTGGGGCAGGATACACTTTTCGTGAACACCTCATATCATCATAAACCCATACCTATGATACAGTCAGAATAATGCAATGGACTCTACTTGTAGTAGAGATTTCTTATGGTTATAGAAAGGGTTTTAATGTATCTGTTTATTTCTTCAATCACAGATTATCTGCTTTTTTCTCTTAATAGTGGGATATATAACAAGGAAGTGTGGCATTGTACCATGACAGTGTTCCAGAACAACACAACTATCAGTCATGACCTGGCTGTGTTTGCCTGGCATTGTACCCTGACAGTGTTCCAGAATGACACAAAGTGCCAGCCATGACCTGGCTGTGTTTGCGTGGCATTGTACCCTGACAGTGTTCCAGAATGACACAAAGTGCCAGTCATGACCTGGCTGTGTTTGCGTGGCATTGTACCCTGACAGTGTTCCAGAATGACCCTATGTGCCAGTCATGACCTGGCTGTGTTTGTGTGGCATTGTACCCTGACAGTGTTCCAGAATAACACAAAGTGCCAGTCATGACCTGGCTGTGTTTGTGTGGCATTGTACCCTGACAGTGTTCCAGAATGACACAAAGTGCCAGTCATGACCTGGCTGTGTTTGCGTGGCATTGTACCCTGACAGTGTTCCAGAATGACACAAAGTGCCAGTCCTGACCTGGCTGTGTTTGTGTGGCATTGTACCCTGACAGTGTTCCAGAATGACTCAAAGTGCCAGTCATGACCTGGCTGTGTTTGTGTGGCATTGTACCCTGACAGTGTTCCAGAATGACTCAAAGTGCCAGTCATGACCTGGCTGTGTTTGCGTGGTATTGTACCCTGACAGTGTTCCATAATGACTCCAAGTATCAGTCATGACCTGGCTGTGTTTGTGTGGCATTGTACCCTGACAGTTTTCCAGAATGACTCAAAGTATCAGTCATGACCTGGCTGTGTTTGTGTGGCATTGTACCCTGACAGTGTTCCAGAATGACTCAAAGTATCAGTCATGACCTGGCTGTGTTTGTGTGGTATTGTACCCTGACAGTGTTCCAGAATGACTCAAAGTATCAGTCATGACCTGGCTGTGTTTGTGTGGTATTGTACCCTGACAGTGTTCCAGAATGACTCAAAGTATCAGTCATGACCTGGCTGTGTTTGCGTGGCATTGTACCCTGACAGTGTTCCAGAATGACTCAAAGTATCAGTCATGACCTGGCTGTGTTTGTGTGGCATTGTACCCTGACAGTGCTGATCTGGCCGGTATGATCTAATAGGTTTCAAAATGTTTCCAAAACGTGGACTTGGAATAGAGAGTGAACTCACTGGTGTCCTATGATGGTACAAGTTGTGCTCCAGTTTTTAGAAGTGTATAATTGAATTGTGCAGCCCTAGACTTGTGCTCAGTGCTATACACACAAAGCAGATATATACTCCCTCTCTCTAACCTTGTCAACAGCAGGACCAATAACTGTAACATCATAGGGGTTCGAAACACCAACACCCATGCCAAAGTTGCCCTAGATACACAATTGGCAACTTGAGTGGAAATAAATCTGCTATTTTGGGAATATTAAGAGAATGACACAACCATCCAAATTTATGTTTATGGATCCAATGAGCTTACAATTTCTTAAAATAATTATAAAAATTTCAAGCAAAACCTTTTTTAATGCTACCAAACACCAATTCTTTTGTCAGTGAATTTCACTATTTCAATTAAACAGTTTAAACACATATTTAGTCAAGAAACCATATGAACCTTTCACCGACATGATCCTGTCAACTGAGAATGGTATTTAAATGTTCATCATTCAGACCTACAGACCGATGTTGATAGTTTCCTCCTTTGGGACTCTTCATATTTTTAACAACTTGGATTACATACATATTTTAAATAAAAAGAATAAAAATTTGAATACAAGATTTTTATAAAATAAGATCTAAATCAGGTGATGTCAAGTATTATGAAATAATAGAAAAACAGTTGTTAATGATGAGTTAAGGATTGCTTCTCTTTCTAAAATAAGATACTTTGAATCGATTTGATTACTGTAATTACTAAACTTGACTGAATCACAATTTGTAATTTTATGAAAAATTGGGGTTGGCAGATTCATAAAGCTAAGTAATAAAAAAATGATTGGTAACAGACAAATATGACTCAGCTTTCTTTCAACTTTCAAGTACACATAAATATTAAAAAAACTTCAACAGCTCATTATACAGAACAAACCCCCAGCACGACCTGTTTTCTTCAAAAGTATAAAAACCAACAAACAAATCACCCAACAGTCTTTAATAAGGCCATAAATAGCCACAGTATACACACACATAAAGTATCCTGCATTAAATAAATGAATCTACAATTTTGGATAGCCATGTAAAATATCAAACAAGGTGCCACTCCCACGGAAACATGTGATAGTGACACTTCATAAGTCAGCTGTTTTTATCGAATCTTGTTTATTTCTGTCAACATTGACAACCTTTGAAGGACGCTTGTTGTCAATGTCGGTTGACACTGTTGGTATTTCAAAAGCAAAGGGTTTGGCCTATACTCTTGGTAAACAATGAACACCTCTTAGTTTAATATCCAGATTGTTAAACAGCTCATCCAAACTGATTTTTAATATAGCAAGGTGTGGCAACTATTTTTCACTCTGAAATTCAAACAATCTTAAGCCTTTATTAGTCCTTTGAAGTAGATATAAGATTGAAGAGTAAACACTACTTAAATCTTTTGTTCAATATTAACAGTTTTACAAAAGGATATTTGTTTTTACTTTCTCATGTTGTTTCAGCTATGGAACACTGAAACACATTTAATAATGGTGAAAAAGTGTTCTAATATAATAATATTTTTTGACTTGACATGGGAATAGAATGAATCCTCTCTGCGTAAAGATCCACTGAAGGTGAAGATCCTATACAACTGAGTAATAGCACAGATGAAAAGAGGAAGAAAAGACTATTATCAGGGAGTTCCAAATGCAAAGAGCAGAGCAATTATATTGTTGTAGATAGTCTAGTCATCCTGTCCTTTCTGTTTGTTTGTTTATTTGTTGTTTAACGTTGCACTCAGCAATATTCCAGCTATATGACGGCGGTCTGTGTAAACAATCAAATCTGGACCAGACAATCCAGTGACTGACACCATGAGCATCGATCCATACAATGACTTTCGTTTCTGAGTGCCATGGCATTTACTCCAAAAAAGATTATTATCAAGGTTATATTTGTTTTCTATAGCAGTTCTCTTTTGGTAAGATCGATATTTCTGAATCTAGGTCGCAAAGAAATCTGTTTTAGAAACCTGACTGGTTCAAGAACCCATGCTTCCTTCGTTTACATTGGATGGTCTAACTTCACTCAGGGTTCACCTTGTGCGACTTTCTATGTATGTGTTGTCAGATCTTGACTAAGTGAGGTGTGGTATGGGAGAAAAAGATCTGATGTTAATTAGATTAGAATAAAATTGAATTTTTCATAACTATTAATTGTCATGACAATGGCATTTGAAACAAATTTGACAACTCATCCACAAAACAGTCCAGCAGCCTCTAGCGTTGATCCAGTCATATGTCATATTTCTATTACTTCATCAAACACCCCAGGCTATTGTTTCAAATAACAAACACTGATACAATGCTGGCTAAGTTGAGCTATTGCATGCAACAAACACAGCTGAAGAAAGATTCAAATAGTCACTTAACATGCCAAGCTTGAAAGGTTCCATTCAGATGCAAAATATCACTATTTACATATACCACAAAGCATCAGGCAGCGAACCATACTACTCAACTTTTGATAGGGATATAGAGAAATTCCATACATTTACAAAACTCAGTGGACAACAACGTATGGAGATGTGTACTTATGTCTATTTTAACCTGAAACAAAATTAACAATGTGTCAGTTACAAAACAAAATTAGATTCATTTGACAAAATTTCAATGTAATCCATCCCATTCTGTTCCACTTGGAATATCTCCATCAAAAATTAAGTAGTATAATTTAATTCATCTATCAATTCAAATATGCATCAAAGAAAAAACATAGAAAGTTGTCTTTATCAATGTTTATTCTAAATTTTGTTTTAAAGGTGTGATTATACTACAGACGCATCATTATATTCGTAAAATTTTACTTATCATAATAAAATCTAGGGTATATAAAGTTTCACCAGTCAATGACCATGTATAAACAACCACACACCAAACCCAGCTATAAGTCTACAACAGGACACAGAGTATGTATGTACATGTATGTATATTGTTACGCTGCATTGTTACTGTAGGACAGTGTCTGATATAGCTGCCTGCCCGCTTCCCGTGACTGGTAACATTTATGTCGGGATAGGTGAAATTTATTCCTACCTGCCCGACTATCCAGCACTTTTAACTGTATTCAACTTGACAGTCAGTGTCGATTAATGTACTTTAAAATTGTTTTACTGAAAATCACGACTGCATTTCATCCAAGTCATGTCAACATTACCTGCTTATCAGCTTCCGTTTATGAACTGTTAAAATATATGTCTAATCGTAGTACTGGTTCCAGTCGATGAAATGGCTGTCACTGTATTTTTGTTGTTGCATGTCTTTACAAATACGGGCCAGCAACTTTCAACATGGCCTAGTTACCTGTATGCGTTACCAGTCCGTCTGGCTTGTTGGAAGTAACTATTGTTTCAGACACTGCTATACAATCCCATGAACATGTATTTAGTCCCTTATTTACCAAGCTGATTACATCTCTTAAAACTATAACCTCATCAGGGATAGAAGTTCATAATTAGCACCTGTATTTATTTTAAATACGTTAATATGAAAACACCAATCACTTCCTTCCTGGCAGCTGAAATATCATTGCAATCTGTTCTCTTACTCTGATTGGCTACCCCTCTGCATTAAATTCTAACAACCCCAACATAGTAGGTCATGTCAGGTGAACCTTCTAATCGGCTTCTATTTTCTTAGTGTGGGGGCATTCGTCACCACTCGCCCCTTTTTCCGTAACCTGCAAGAAGTCTCGTCCCTCTATCGATGAATGTTATGTGCGAAAATACGACAAACCAATCAGAATGCGTGTATGATTTCAAGTTCTTCATCAAAGAATCCCTTAGAAACAATTTTGGATTTTACATATGTCTTGCATCTAAAAATATACCCAAGACACAGTTAAATGTGTTCAATCATACTGTAAAATTACGCATGTCCCGATGTGCTTTAAATTGCATCTGACATATATATAATATATGGAGAAATATATGTGAACCATTACGCAATGAGTTGACAATTGTTTTAGGTATGCCCGTTTGCACTAAGACGGAACCCAGTCACAAAATGGCCATGCACGCGAGGGGCACGAGTCGCTATTCGGCTTGTCCCCGAGTAACACGAGTTGGTCACGAATGAGTGTGGGTGATGAGCAAGCAAAGCATTCAAAGCAACACATCTGATTTTGGTATCTCAAAAACAATGTTAATAGGCCTTGTCTTTTTTCTGAGCACCATGGCATCTACATGCAAAAGGGTGTTCTCTCAATAGTACATTTGTGTTTTAGTATTATTCTTTTATTTCGAACCAAATTTTAAAATCAGGGCCAGAAAGTGGCAGGGAGCGGATTGTGTTGACAAAACTTAGAACGTGGTAAAGCCGTTAGCTGACATTTGGCTGAAAAAAGCACTTGTTTTTCATTGACGGGGCAATCAATGGAGAGTTTTTCAGATCTTGAAGGAGAGAGCTGCCATTTCATAGTTAATCCTTTGCTAACTATGACATAAAGTCCAATAACTTTACAAAGTTCTATCCCTGATCTGAATATAAACATTTTTATCAATACCATTAGTGTTATTTATAACCATATTATAGCTATCAATCACCATTATCCCATTTATGATTACCTAAAACCATTAATTAGTTTTCATTACATCTGTAACTACCTCTAACATCACAAATATATGTCTACAATGGCTAAAACACCTCAACCTCCACACACTGACACACAAATAAAACAAAACATCAAATACAGATGTTAAAACTGTTTCCCAGACAACTCCTTTTGTTTCAATAGAATATTCCCAACAGAAATTAGATTATATGATCCTCTCAGAAACAGAAATTCTAGAATTAAAGTTTTAGTCACATTGACAAGTCACATTTGTATTTAGTTCATTATGAGATATCTAATAACACTGAAACTATTCAGAACAAAAGAGAGTTCAAAGTTGTTGTCCAATGTCCATATTTATAAGCATTCACTTTGCTTTCAATCTGAAAGGTAAAATATGTAGCTACATATTTCCTGATTACAAACTTAACTTTGAATAAGAGAAAGAATGTATTAATCATGACACTTGTTTTCATGTTTTGGTTGGTTCCAAATAGTTTACTGTTAATACTTAAGGTTTTCTATACATTCTGAATTAAATATTTTCTTGTTCATTCAGAAACAATTTTTCTTTTTTTAAACTGCCTATTTCATAGTCAACATTATTGGACTAGGAATATAATTTAATGTACATCTTGTCATAGTCATTAAGCATGGATCTTTTTCTGTAAACTTTACTTATAAAATAAGAAGGAAAAATAATGCATATAAGTTTCTTCATAGATCAGCTGAGCAGACAAATTAATTCAAATTGAAACTGTAATTTTCAGACTTATAACTCTGTGAAGAAAAACTTAAATATTGCATCTGTATGGAACAGAGTGGATGCTGCCATAGAATGGTTTGAAAAATGTTTGAGCAGATAATTTGTTTATGGAATGATGTATTGATAGATTAAAGGATTATTATGAAGCACTTCTTTAAACTTCATTTGTTTCCACATGCTGAATATCAAACAGAATGTCTCAAATAATAGAAAGTTATTTAATAATAATAATAATAATAATAATAATAATAATAATAATAATAATAATAATAATAATAATATATAATATATAATAATGCTGGTGATTAAAATAACAATAATAGTGACAATGCTGCTGATAATATTATTAACACAAATGAGCAACGACCAATGTCCACAATACTCTCCTTAATTTTCAAGTTATTTAACTTACTGGTATGTTTTAATCAAACATGAGGTAATTACACTTCTTCTACTTACCTGATTCACGTTGTGCAATTTTCGAGTATATTCTCGGAGCATTGCGGGGTCAAGGTGATTCGGCTTTTCTGTGATTGGATGAAGTGTTTCTACTCGAGGGTAGACGCGTGGACTCACTCCTCCTTGGCTGAAATAGTTACGAGAAATGAAATTAGCATCAACATGTACAGCATCAATATTACAAATTTAAGGGTACATCAATATCACAAAATACAATGACATCCCTACCTCTTCTAGATATCTATCAAGAGACAAAATTTGTTGACTTAAATTTATCACAGGTATGAACAGAAAGAAAAGTCTGTGTTGTGTTTAACATATAATTGTTCTATTTTCATACACAAAAGGTCACAGATAAAAACCCACAGAGCAATGACACAAACACACTTCATTCAAAGCAAATATTAACTACACGTTTCTTTTGTAAAAACATATTTCTTAAAGAAGCCGTAGAATGGAATTGTGACTGTGGAAGCAACACATTACAACCAGACCTTTGCTAGAGTCAGCCTGTTGGTACAAACACTGTACTTAGGAAGTCACAAACATGCCACTTACATGCACATTTATTATGATAAGAACTTCTAAAATATGGAGGTCATTTCTAACAGGTAAACTTTTTGATCTTATTATAAACAAAATACAAAAACAGCATTGTGGTTTTAAATCTTGTTTTCTACACATAAGGTCCATGATTGCATTATATGCTACTCAAAATGAGTTAAAGAACACCCAATTCTCTCATATTACTATAGTTAATCTGTCATGTCAAGGCTTTAATATAGCATGACTGATTAACAATAGTAATACCAAAGAATCGAGTGTTCTTTAACTTCTTTTGAGCAGTATATGTATTAAGGTTGTGTTTGTAAAAGATATATTATCTTTTGATTACAGCATATTGTCTTGAAACATACAATGTCAAATATACTGTCACATATTCGCAAAGAAAACATTTAGCACCTACGCACTATTCTGTTTCTGGTAAGTTGTGTGATGGTAAAGGCATCTCAGGGCTACGGTACATTCAAAATTCTTTAGGAGGCATGGTCTTCAAAAATGGTGGGGAGAGGGTGATTAAGAGTACACAAACATCTGAGGGAACGACCCAGGATTGTTTGTAAGGTCCATAACAAATGGGAGTGCGATCATTGAATATCATTAACGCTTACTATCATCATCAAACAGTGGACACATCAAGGAAGATAACTCTTGGTGCCAAATATCCCCATAACTTGGGTGTCAATAGTTCCACCTGCTACCCAAGTTTTCCCCGAGTTCCTACTTGTACTACTACTTCACATACCCTAAATCAGTCTTCTAATATCTTGATATTAACAAAATTATATAATTAAGATGCCATTTTTGTTCAAATGTTAAATAATGGATGAAAGGTTTATAAACTAGCCCTATATTAGTACTATACTACGCAAAGACAATTAATGTCTATAGATTTGATGTTTATTATGAGCATAATACTTATATTCAGGTGCTGAAAGTTGGTTTTCTATTTGCATATAGTGCTACTAAATTAGTAAGCCAATCAAAGAAAAGAAAACTCACTAAACAAGATAATAATACTGCCTCATTTATACAACAGCAATTTCTGAAATTGTTACGATGGTGATAATGACAGTGATGACAGCACTCAGCAATATTCCAGCTATATGTAAATAATCTAGTCTGGATTGACATCATGAACATCGAACCATGCAGTTAGGATACGATGACATGCATCAACCAAGTCAGCGAGTCTGACCACCCGATCCCCATTGTCGCCTTTTACGGCAAGAATTGGTTGCTGAAGACCTATTCTACCCCAGATCTTCACGGGTCGACAGTGATAGTGATGATGATGTGGAAATAGTTAATATACATTTCACTTGTTGCAGTTATAACTTTTAAGCAGTTTTCAATTCAAATAATCACATAGCAAAGGCATACATGTACATCATTCTCATTACCATATCTGTTCTCAGAAAATAAATAAGGCAGAAGGACATATGTTTTGATCAATTTCTTGCTTACAATCTTTCATGATAGATCATTAATACCCACGACAGTAAAGCAAGGTTTGAAACAGAAAACTTTGATCACTGAACATTGATCAGGCAATAAATATTTGTGTTTGGTAAAACTTTGGTTTGTGGATCCACTGACATTGAAAATAGCAAAAAGAAAATATAATTAAATTATTTTTTTTCCAGATTTTTTTATACCAAAATTTACAAAATTTGTTTATAAAAAAATAAGTTAACATGAAATATCACTCAAATAGTTTATGATTCATTGCGAAATATGAAATACATAGCAAAGTGTCTACTGCAAGTGATGTGGACCGATAAGAGTTATGGCTGTTCTATAGGACATATCCTGTTGCTCAGTCTATTAGCTGGTCAATTGGCATTGCAATTGAGATTTGGGGAGATTTCTTTTTTTGTTCATTGTAAGAACAAAACCAAATTCTGTAATCCAACTAAAAAATATAATTCTTTACAGTCACATAACATATTCAAAGTGAGTAAGTACGCACATACTGCAGAATACCCAATAGGACTTACTGAGCAGTGTGCGAAATTAAGCACAAATTGAAAGGGTCCTTGTCATGACCCAAACGTTAAAATGAAATATTATTGGTCTTCAAACTTAATTTCAAACACTGCTGAAGAAGTGGACATTGTTACTGAAGATGTACAGCAAGACATTACTGCAGATCGTTGTGGCATTACTATTTACTACTATGCAGATATGAGAACAGACATGGTGTTGCTAACTACATAGAGTCAAAAACTCTTTTACTTACTCTCCATACTTGTCAAGGAGATAGCTGAATTCAAAATTGGTCACATGAATAAACACTATTATGGTGCCATCTTCCTGAGGCAAGGGAGTCAACTGACTTCACTGGACTTTTAATGTCAGTTAACTCTTTTGCCTGGGAAAGTTTAGATGGGGCTACAAATGTGATATTTCCTGCTTTGGGTGATCTTTGTATATTGTTGAAACACTAATTTGAGCTGACTCATACTGCAGTTTGCCAAGGGAAGTAACTGGCAAAATATGCTTTTCGATGGCCTCTGGCAATATGATAAATTCTGATTTTAAAACAACAATTTGACGCCAAATACCTTTCCATGTTTCACTGCTCTTAGGATTTATTGGGAATAATTCTTAATATCTGCAGTGAAAAACTGCATGGGATCTATTTCGTTTTAAAGATTCTTGTACAGCTATTTCAAATTATTCGTTTGAACATCACTATTACCAAAATATCTTGCCTACTGCTATAACACACCTATGTAACAATATGTCTTGAGCAAAAAACATGCTTTCAATTGTTGTTTTTGTGATGTAAACAACCACAACCATCACCATAAAGTTAAAATCTTTAAACTGTTCCCTTGAACAAGCACTGACTTGTCTGCAGTTTCTTGTCCGAGACAGCTACAATAGTAGTCCTAATATCTAACCAAGATCTAGTCTCTGTCCCTGACATGACATTCCTCCTGACTAAACTACAAATTAACACTCATATTTGCTTAGGACGGATCATAAACATTCTATAGTACCTTCAGGCCACCATAAGCCGGGCATTAGTATTGTGAATGACACTACTCAAGCATGTCTAATCAGTAAATGTGCGTGTGCTGTGGCCGAGAGAGTATCTCTGAACCTTGCAGTACTTGGTATATCTGGTCAAGTGTCCACTTTCTGCCACCATTATGATGTTGAAGTCTGTTTGAATTATTCGTGCACAGAGTACGAGGGTGTGATTAAAGTCACAGGTTAAGGGTTATTTGAGACACAGATAATTTATTGGGTCATTTTCAAGACTAGATGCTCTTGACAAAATGAACATCGAGAGTGTTCTTATAAACAGTTCACGTGTGCATCTGAAGAAAAACACAAACCATCTCAAACTAAACATGTGATAGACATCAGTTCTATGCATAACTGCTTGTTTTCAATAATTATAGATTCAAATTATTATATTTTTATATTTTCCCTCCAACTAGGCATTTAAAAAAAATCCTGTAAAAGAAGTAATTAATTTGGTCTGGTCTAAATACCAATACATGGGTAGGCGTATAGTGTATCATACTGTCTTGATAAATTTGCAATGCATAGATACATAGGTAAATCAGAACACTCCAAGCAAAAATGCCCAATGCATCTACACCTATATCCTTCAACACATGATATACTTAACAGCTGTTATTACCCATAGGCTGAGAAATAACTGAGTTAATAAAAAACGTATGTGAACTTGTGCAAATATCACTTCTTGAGCGCCAGTGTGTTGTTTCCACCATCCGGTCATTGTTGATGTCATTTAAATCTTATTGTGACGTAAGGACGGAATGACATCACGACGCCATAGTTGAAGATTATTGAAGTCATTCACCAAATTGCTGTTTTCTAGGACACCCGTGGTGATCAGGGCATTTTTTGTAAAGGGGTGCTCAAAAGGATTATGAAATGATGGGTAATAAAGAAATTATTACACTTACATGAGTGTCATACTGGGTTTATAAAACTCACGTAAGAATTCATGTATTACCCTCGCACCCGCTCGAGAAATACAAGCATTCTAACACTCGTTTCGTAAAACCAGTATGACACACATGCTCGTATAATAACCTCTATGAATCTCACTAGGACCGAGCTGTAAAATAGGTCCCTTTATTCCTACCCATATTACATCAAGATTCAAGATCACAGGATTCAAGATACCAAGATTGAAAAGCAAACATCCCCAAAGTATGATATATGGCACTACTCTGCTCCCATTGTGATAAACAAACCAGCATTACAATACAGGAGGTCTCCTGCAGGTCCAACTGTGTTGTCTGTTGCTATGATAGCTGACTTCACCTCAACCATAGTAGACTGAAGGATTGAGGAAGTAGGATTTGGTGTTGTGTGTTATCCTGGTGTAATAGTCCCTACTACCCTCCACATAGATTAACATTAAGTCCCAGAAATAAAATGATCTTATTTCAAAATATACATCTACTAACTCCCAAATAAAACCCAAATGGAGCCAAGAACAATGATTCATTTCACTGCTGAGGCAATCTAGACTTGCCAAATCATTCCAGACTTGAGTTGGATTAATTTTTTAAT